GACCCTCTGGTTGGGCTCCAGTGTGGTCTGGGAAGAGCAGGCTCTGACATCCATTCCCATTGCCTCCCGTGTCGGGGGACAGCCGCGTCCTCGTCCTCACTGCCCCTGACGCAGCTGCGAGCTGTGGCTGACCAGACCGGGGTGACCGCCGTCCCCGAGTGACACCAGCCCCGCCCCCGGCTGCTGCTCCCTCCTACCTGCTCCAGCTCGTAGGCTTTGGCCTTGTCCTCGTCGCGGTCGGCATTCTTGCGGTAGGCTAGGCCAAGACCCCACACCGCCAAGATGCTGTACACGTTGTCCCGGACCCAAGCGTCCTGGTGGTCGGCGCTAGCGGGGAGCAGCCCCGTCACCGCGTCCTGCGGAGGGGACGCACCGTTCACACAGAACTCCCTGGCCCAGCGGCTGGCGGGGCGCGCCGAGGCCCCGGGCCTGCTCCTCATTCCCGGGCAGGGTCCGCACCTGGTGGCGGAGGATGGTCTGCTGCACCAGGCGCCCGTAGCTGTCCAGACGCACACCCGAGTTGCTCCGGCTCCTCATGACGGCGGCAGCAGCAGCACAGGAACCGGCACCGGCGGGATGGCACGGGTCCTGTCAAGGCCCCTCCCCGCCCCGCCCCGCGGCACCGCCTGCTCGCTGCCGCCGACGGCGCTACCCGAGTACCGCTACGGCCCCTGAGCGGCCGTCCGACCCGCACTGCCCTGCGCTCCTCTCCGGCGATGGCTTCGGTCCGCAGGGCGCTCGCTACCGAGTGGGCAGGACCTGGAGGACATGGAGGCCCCGACGGCGGGGGGGCGGGGGCCTTCGGCGCCCCTGCTGGGCGAAGGCCGAGCAACGCTGAGTATGGATACGCGGCTCCAAGGACAGACACACGGACGGACACACGGATACATGGACAGGGACACGGCCACACACACGGATACTCGGATACAGGGACGGACGCGCGGACGCACGGATACCTGTGCCGGTGTGGAACAGATACATGGATGGTGCGTGGTGTGGCGCAGGGACGCACGGATTGGTTCGCGTCCTGGTGGGAGACTGTACAGACACACAGACGGCCACACAGATAGGTACACATACCAGTGTGGGTCTGTATGGACACGCATACGTATGCTAGGTGCATGGACAGACACAAAAACACGCATGTGGACAGAGGCATGGAGACGTCCATAGGTGCGCAGGTGCACATAGAAACATGGGCATGCACAGACATGCACACACGTACAGGTGTGCACACACCTACCTGCACTGGAACACATGCACAGGCAGACTCGTGTGCACACATACTTCCACACGCACACACGTGTACACAGCTACGCTTTGCTTTTCTGTGTGTTCATAGCACACAGAAATACACACACACGTGCACCTATGTACATTCACAGGTGTGCAAACCTGTGGATACCCACAGGTACACTCACCTATAAGCACACACATGCATAAGCACACGGACACACTTCCCGTGCACACACACAATTATACACATGTGCACACACAGAGAGGCATACACTGCATACACCTGCGTGCACAGGTGCAGGCAGACACATGTGCATCATACAGATGTGCACCCACACAGGTGCACCAGCAGCATTTGGGCACAGTAGGCTCCTGAAGACCACAGCACGCCTCGTCCCGGGGACCCCTTTGGGCACGTGGGGGCCAAGTGGGTGCTGCGTTGGACTCTGCAGATTTTGGGTGGGAGACAGGAGCCCGCAGGTGCCATGTGCCACCCTGAGGCACACATGATCCTGTCATCCATTTAACCTGCCTTTGCACAGCTGGGCAGGGGCAAGAAGATGCTGAGTGTGGGCAGGGTGCATTAGGTTTATTTTCTGTGCAGAGCGTCTGGAGCAGCCCAGCCACGGCATGGCCCCAGGGAGCTCAGCAGCACAGTCTCCCCCTGGCCCAGCCCAGAGGACATATGGCTGCTGGAGAGTCCTGTCCAAGCAGTGAGTGCACACTGTCCCTCGGTGTCTGGGGATCCCAGTGCACAGTGGACATTCCTGGGGATGCTAGTGGCTGTCAGCACTCATACTGTGGTGGGGTACGCACCCAGCCCTGTGGGGCAGAGCAGCCATGAGCACTGTGCCAGGGTGTCCAGAGGGAGTGCATCCCTGAGCTGGAGGCACCTGGATGGGGGAGGCCAAAGCTGGGCTCTGCTGGGGGGATGCCTAGGCCGGAGTCACTGGAACTGGAGGGCACCACAATGGTGGGCAGTGGGGAACAGTGTAGGGGTGGGGGTCCCAGAGTCGAGAACTCCCAAAGTTGGTGGGGTTGGGGTACTTGTGAGGCCCCATGGCTGGGGACATCAGGGTACATGGAGCGGGTCACAGGACTTGTAGGGATGAGGGACATTAAGAGTCCCAGGCATGCAGACAAGGCTAGGCAGGGGGTGATGCAGGGGATGAGCAGAGGTCCCCAGTTACTGCAGGCCTTGCTGACACACTCAGTGCTGTGCCAGCAGGGGGCACCCGGGGGTCTGCTGCTCTCCCATCCTCTAGAAGGGTGTTGCAAGGGGCATCTGAGGGGCCATGTGCTCCCCACCCCCTGGGGCTCCTGGAACATCCAGAAGGGCAGATGGGAAGGGAGGAATGTCCTGAGTCACCTGGCATCTTTCCCTCATGCCAAGACCCACCTGGAGGAAGCTGTAGAGAAGCAAGATGAGGGAGAGGAGTAGTGCCAGGCTGATGGCGATTCCTGGAGATGGTAGTGGGGACTGCACCGGTCCTGTCAGCCATTCTGAGTGCTGAGGCTTCCATAGTGTTGCAAACTCCATCTGTCAGGTGCCTCCACTAGGTACTGCTCCTCTCAGGTAATGGCTCTGCATAAATTTTTGAGTGGCCCTGGGCAGAGAGACAGCCCTAGCTGGGAGCTGCCAGCATCTCTGCAGGGCACCCATAAGGCATCTGGATTCTGGCCATCACCATTTGCATCCAGCTACAGTCCTAGCAAGGTGCCTGGGGAGCACCTGGTCTCCACAGCTGGGGGATCTCCATCCTGGTGCCCCTGTACTGTGCCCAGCCTAGATTTGCCCCAGTACTGCAAGGGCACATGGGACACATCCCCTCTCTGCCCAGTGCCAGCCTGCAGGATGTGGGGTGTGAGGCGCTCATGCCCACTTAGGAGGGGCAGCAGGAGGGATAATGAATGGGCACCCTGTGGAAACAAAGCAAAGCCTCAGTGTGGGGTTTGGGGCAGGAGAAGGAGCTGGGAACAAGGCAGAAGGGAACAGGGATGCACTAGCTGGCCTGGGGGAGAGAAAGGGTCCAATGCAGCCCCCTGTGCCGGCAGCAGCTCCACAGGCAAGATCCCTACCTGAGGGTGAGTTGGGGTGCAAGCCTCCAAAGCCAGGGTTCCTGGTGCTCCCCAGTGGAATGCCAGGCTGTGCCCTGCGGGATCTGCAGGAAGATCATCTCTGCAAGGTGCACCCTAGGCAACAGGCTAGGGTGACTGCACCCTGCGCCTTGCAGTCCCAGCAATGATGCAGGCACAGTGCTGGAGTCATCCGGGGACAGTGAATCTTACCCTGAATCACTGCTCCTCCATCTCTGTGGTAGCACCTTTCCCACTACCAGCACAGAGGTGATCCTGCTGCTGGAGCAGCCCCTGGGCACCCATGGATACTCAAGGAACGGGCCCATCCCAAAAGACTCAAGAGCTTGTTGGCACAGTGCATAAATGGACACAGGGCTAGGGTGACAGACTCCAGTGCTCACCCATCTCCAGGTGCCCAGCTGGTCCAAGGGGTGCTGGCAGCAGACAGACCCAGGAGACCTGGCTCATTGCTCTTCCATGGTCACCTAGGACTTGCCCCATACAGAGGGATGAAGAGCATCTCTCATTCCTAGCCCCATGGAGGCAGCTGCCTGCAGCCACATGTGGTCTCCTCTGCACTAGTGCAGGTCAATGCTCCAGGGGAGGCACTTCTCATAGGCCCTGCTTGAACCAGCTGGGATTTACCCCTGCACCCATCCCCTCCAGTGAAAGCACAAGGGCAGTTGCACAGGGATACAGCCTAGGGCAACCTATCCCAGGGTGCACCTGCTGCACCCTGGGGACAGTGCAAGAACAGGCCAAGATGGTCTTTAGCAAAATCAATCTATTTATTTATTCACATTCAAGAAATAAATAGAGAAAAGTCAGGCAGCAGGGGTGCTGAGAGTGGGACTGACCCTTCTGGGAACAGGGACGTGCCAGGAGCCCAGCAGAGCCCAAGGCCTGTGTGACAGCAAGAGTGCAAGAAGGTAGAGAGACATCTGCAACAGCAATCTGACCTCTGGGAACAAGACCTGAGCCCTGCTAGAGGGCAAGCCAAGGAGCTGAAGAACAAGTGTGACAGAGGAAACAGCAGGCAGAGCCCAGCACAGACAGCTGCCTTGGCCTCTAGCACTGGAAGCAGAGATGGCAGCTCAGGTCCCTCCACTTTTTCATAGCCCTTCCAGAGCAGAACTGCAGGGGAGGAGAGAGGCTTCCTCCCTCCAGCCCAAATTCTCAGCCTGGTGAGATGCCTCTGCAGTTGAGACTAGATAGGGATGGGGTGCATGTGAGTTGGGAAGGAATGCCACAGGCAGGGTCACATCAGATCCTGACACCACCACCGTGCCAGATGCAAAACACAGAGACACCTGGACTTCCTCCCTCCCTGCCCTCGCTCCACCAGGAGACTCCCAGCCACCTCCTAAGAGCTTTGTACTCCAGTTTAGGGACACACCTCATATCTGAGAACATCAGGCCAAGACCCCCTGCCCACCAAAACCAGGCAGCAGCCATGGGGGCTGCAGGAAGGACAGATGTCATGGGGCAACCACCCCAGCACAGGTTCCTGCCTTTAAAAACCCACAATTTACATAAAACTGTCATTGTAAAACCTCCCTACTGAGCAGTGCTGCATGGGGAGGGGAGATGAGCCAAGTGAGCCCCAGGCAGAGCAAGATAAACCCTAAAGTCCAGATCTGCAGGAAGAGGCAGAGCCCAGGGGTGATGTGCTGGAGCAGTGGAAATTACCGGCAAGTGCAGGACTCTGCAATCATATTCTCGTACTCCTTGTACAGTATGCCTCCATTGCGTTCAATCATGAGGACACTGATGGGGCTGTAGCGATAGGGCACACAGGAGGGCCGGGGCACATTGGCATCCACCAGCTGATGAACAAAACCCTGCACCACAGCATGGTTGGGTGCGTGGAAGTCATAGCGGAGCAGGTGGGGACAGGTGCCCTTGCAGTAGCGTGGGTTATAGCGGTGAGGAGCAATGATCCAGTGGTCCCAGCCCAGCTGTGCAAAACTGACAGGGAAGGGGCGGAGGGAACAGTCACTCTTCTCCCCTCCCTGGTCCTGCAGGTACTTGGGCAGGTCATGAGCCAATGTCCCTGTATCACGTCGGTATCGGTGGGGCTCTGCTGCCAGAGGTGCCAACCCTGCCTGGGTATCATTAAGGTAGAGAAGGAGGAAAGGGTGGCCAGGGGCCACGGGGGCATCATGGCCTCCTGCTCGGCCAGCACGCACGCAGACATGCCGCAGTGCCAGGCTCCCCACGCTGCTGTTCCCCAGCACCAGATAAGGGGTGACGTCAACTTCGGCCCAGCCATGGCGGGGACGGGCAGTAGGGCTGAGCAGCACCCTGGGTGCCTCGCCAGCCATCACCAGCTCCAGAGCGCAGAGAAGGCGACCGTGGGCCAGTGACAGACTGGGCAGGTAGACCACAGTAGCTCTGAGGAGGTGCTCGACCTCTGGCTGGCCCTCCATGTGGTAGGTGAGGGCCTGCAAATACCAGCGACCTGCAGGGAAGCAGTGACCTGTTAGCATAGTGCAGGAGGCACTGTGGAGCATGCCTTTCTCTCATGGTGCTGCCACAGCCCCACACAGCACAGCAGAGCCTGTGACAGCCATCTGCCCCAGCACAAAGGAGATGCTGCAGCAAACAGAAGCCATGAGCCAAGGCTTGCTGGTGGCATGAAGGGCAAAGAGTCTGTAACATTTCCCATCCTCTCCACCAACACCATTAGCCTGGCAGAGCATTAGGCAGATTGGGAAGGAGAGAAGGGCACACAAGGGCCAGCTATGCATTTACCCCTCTCATCCCTGGGGCAGAGCCTTGGACTCCTGCCAAGTGGAACCCCATGGCCAAGAGCAACCCCAACCCAGACACTGTAGAGAGGGGGAAGGAAGCAGGCAAGAGACCTCACCTTCAGAGCTCAAGCCACCCTGCTAGCTCTGCTAAGCGCCTATACAATCCTTAGTGCTCACCAGTTCCTTACCTGCCCAGGGCTGACCCCCATGGGAACTGGCCTGGACCAGGCGGATGGTGTTGGTGCCCAGGCTGCGGCTGCGGCGGGGGCGGCCTTCGCGGTCAGCAGCACGCCGGTACAGATTCAGCATGTAGCGCAGGGGCTGCCCACTGGCTGGCCCCACCTGCCAGCCTGGGCTGCCTGGAGCCCGGGTTTGCAGGGCCTGCAGGAGGGGCAGCGTGGGGACAGCAGGCAGGGAGCCAAGAGGCAGTGGGGACTGGTTTGCAGCCTGGGAAAGGGGCACAACAAGGAGAAGGAGGAGGCTGGTGAAAGGGCAGGGCATAGCCATGATAAGTGAGTGTCGGGAGGGAGCAGGTAAGAGGGACAAGGTGGGGCTGGCCAGCAGAAGAATTAGGGAAAACCTGCAGTCATGCTTCTCCTCACTTGAGAGGGAGAGCTGACTGTGGGCACCAGCAAAAGGATCCCAGGGTGCTTCCAGCTTCTATCAAGACAGGACAATCACACCAGCTGCTTCAGCTTGGCACAGGAACAGAACGGTGGGGGGAATCTGTATGCAAAAAGGGGGACAAATTCCAGACTAAAATCCAGACCAGGAGTAAAGCTAGCCCAACAGAGCCTGGCTATGGGAGCTGTAAAGGTGCTGGGGTAGGGGAGTGGGGTGAAGTGGGGTGGGAGAATCAGCTCACTCAGCCCACCTGCTCCTGACTCAGCCTCCTCCTACGGGGTAGGAGGTCCTTGCCCAGGCCCATTTTAAAGGCATGGACTCAATCAGGTTTTAAAGAGGCAGGAGCTCCCTGGGTCCCAGGGGAGTGGGGTCAGACAGAGCCTAAGAGGGTGCGTTCATGCGATGAGAGTCCCTCCAGCTCCCTCCACTCTGTGCTGACTCTTCATCAGCAGCTCATCAACTTTATGCCCATTGCTGTATGCTGGTCTGCACTGCCCCAAGCAGACAGAGAGCCTGGAGTTCTGCTCCCCAACAGTCTCACAGCACAGCCAGGCTGCCCAGTGCCTCACTCCATCCAGCTGGCACTAAGACACATGGGTGAGCAGTGACCCTGAGCCCAGCAGTTCTAAGTATGTCTGGGTAAGCCAGCAGTACCCCACTGTAGGCATCATCCTGCCACCACCACCAGCATACCTGCAACTTTGCCTACCTTGATGAGTTTCCAGGTTTTTCTGCCAGCACCTGCTCAAAGCTGAGAGGTAAGCATGATGCTCACCCTCTTGCTGGCATGGGTCATTCGAACCACTTTCCATATTGGGGACAGTGCTTGCCTGGGAAATGCTCTGTGGGCACACTATAGTGTGGTGTGGGCAGCTGCAGCCAATCCCACCTCCAGAGCCCCTGCTGTTGTGCCCAGACCCACAGTACACTGTTGCTCTCCTGCTGGAATGGAAGTAGCCGGGGGTGAGCACACTGGTTGGGAATCACTGGTGCAGGCATAGGGACATGGGAAGAGCTGGAGGGATTGTACTGGTGTCTGCTGCCCACACTTCTTGGTGCCAGCTGGGCACCATGCTAAGGGCCAGGAGGGCTGTGTGGGGGTGTGTGTGGTGCTAAATGTGCTATGGGGCCATGTGAAGAGGCAGGGCACAAGAGCCCTCTTGCCTGGCCAGGCCGCCGTTGTTACTCATTTGGGAAAGCGCACAAGGGTCAGACAAGCCAGTGAAGGTTGGGAAAAGTCTGGGCATGGCAGCAGCCAGTCACGATTTGGGGGCATTACAAGGCAGGTGGGGTCACGGTGGTGGACACGTCAGTGGTAGACATGTCAAGGTTGTATGGGGGGAAGCTATGCATCTCTCCTGGGTGGGCTCAAGCACTACAAATAGCCCAGGTACCGCTCCACCCTGTGCCCTGTGACACTCTGGCTGTACTGGTGTGGCTGCAGCTGGGCTGCACAGGCAGCAGGCAGAGTTCAAGACAGGTGCTTGTGAACAGGGACTACCAAGAAAAACTTGAGACCCTTCCAGCACTGGGAATGAACCAGCCTGGCACTGCAAGCTGACCCTCCCAGGCCATGGCAGGCAACCAGGACTGCAGGCGCTGCTTGCAGAGCAGAGCTTTCCGGGCCGGTTGTCTGGGAAGGAGATGAGTAAGAGTCGTGGCCCCAGGCGGGAAGGGGAGGAGCAGGACTCTCGGGTTCCCCCGGGAATCCATGACGATCCACTCCCACCATCCCTGGCTGCTATCGCCGGCTTTTCCCCCTGCCTCAATTTCCCCCAAGCGGTACAGCTGCCTCTCCTGGGCCTAGCAGGGAAAAGACAAAGGTGAAGAACGGCCAAACTGCCAGGCACACCCTAAAGTGCCCGGCAGGATATGGACAGGGTGGGGGCTGGCATGGGTAGGTCAGACAGGAGCCAGCAGCATGTGCTGGCCTGCAGGCAGTGGAGCTTGGGGCACCAGTGTGACTACATGGTGGGGAGCCGGGGGGGCTGCATCACCCTACTACCACCCTCTTGTACCTACCTGGGTGCTGTAGAACTGTGCCGTGCCAGGCTCAGCTGTGCTGAGCAGTCCCTATTGGTGTGCATTCCTGGCGGCACCATATTGTGCTGAACCCAGATGGGTCATTTTGAGCTGAACCTGTGCATGGTCAAGCTAAGTCAAGCCAAGCCAGGCTCTGCTGAGCTGAACTCTGCAGCCCTGCTTGTCCAAGTCAACCAAGCTGAACTGCACTGAACAAAATTGGGCCAGGCCAAGTGGAGCTAAGCCAGATGAGGCCCCTGGTTGTTCTGCGCTGTACCAAACTTAACTTTGCCAGCCCTGTGTCATGTTGAACTGAGCTGAAACAAGCCAGAATGTGCCAACCCAGCTGAACTGCACCGAGGCATGCCAGGCTGAGCCATGCTGGGCCAGTTAACCCATGCTGGCCCCCCTGCCACCCCACGTTGAACTGAGCTGTGATGTATCGTGCTGCACTGAGGTCTGCCAGCCTTCCATATCGTGCCATGCTGGGTTGAGCTGTACTGAACTGAAATACACCGGCTGGGCTGTACCAAGATGAGCCAAGCAGCTCACGTCAGGTCCCTTGGCTAAAGGATGGTATGCCACGGTACTGAGTAGAAAGGTGCCGTGCTGTGCCATTGTGCGCAGAGCCATGCCACGAGCCGTGCTGAGCCGTGCTGAACCGGCCGCCGCCGTCCCCCCGCGCCTCATTGGCGGCGGCGGAGCAGTCCCGGTGCGGAGCAGCCCCGCCCCGCACTCGCCCCGCGCCGCTCAGCCCGGGCAGGCGGGGGTGTCATTTCCTCCACAGCTCGGGGCCGGGCCGGGATGGGGCTGTAGCTGTAGCCGCCATGGAGCGGGCCGAGGGCCGGCCCGGCGCCCCCCAGTACGTACATGTGCAGCTGCAGGGGGGCGCGCCCTGGGGCTTCACACTGCGCGGCGGGCTAGAGCACGGCGAGCCCCTCATCATCTCCAAGGTAGGAGTCGCCGGCAGAGTCCCGCGTGGGCTCCGCGACATGCCCCCGCGAGGGGCCTCCCGCCCGTGGCGGGGCGCGGGAGATGGGAGGACACCCGGGGCGCGGCAGCGTCGGGGTGCGGGGAACCCCGGCCGCGGGGTCTCGTGTCCTGGCGCGGCGGGACGGGGACGGCCACTCGCACGTACGATCTCCGCGGCCCTCCACTCAGACTCGCGGTGAAGAGTGAGAGCAAGAGGGGCGGAGGGACAGCCCGAGCCCGGCGGCAGGAAGAAATTCCTCTGGCACATCCGTTGGGCTGGCGTCGGGGGCGGCCCCCACATTCCCCCTCACGTCTTTCCCGGTCCCGTCCCGCGGGCTGCAGCCGGGGGAGGTCAGCCCCCTGTGTGCCCATCCGTCCGTGCCGCGCCCACGGGCGTTCTGGGCACCGGACTCTGCGGGGACGTTTAGGGCCACTGTGGGGGAACCAGAGTCCGTCCCGTCATGCCCCGGCACCCCTGGAACGCAGGGGCAGGACCGTGCCTGGGACGGGGTTGGCGCCGGGGTGCGATGCCGAGCGGAGCCGGCCACAGCCGGGAGCAAACGGTGAGGGTGACCCCTGCGGCCCCGACGTCTCGCCACACAGAGAGTCACCGATTCCCGCGGCCCCCGCCAGCGCACCGCTCCGCGGGGAGACTCGCGGGGAGACCCGCAAGGAGCAGGGCGGCGACCAGGGGAACTCCAATAGCCACCCCTCCAGGGAGCCCGGACGGGGCCCTGTCGCCGGACGATTTGGCCGCCTGCCCGCCCGGTGTCGCCGTCCTGCTGAGCCGGGGTGCGGCGGGCCGGGCTGGCGGCCCCCGGGCTGCTCCCTGCCTCGAGCCGGGCCGACTGCACCCCCGGGCCGTTCCACGCCCTCGGCGGGACGCGGCCAGCGCGGTCTGGCTGGGGGAGCTGGAAAAGTGGCTCCAGTCCCAGCCCTGCGCCCTGAGGTGGCACCGCCGGCGGGTGGGGAGCTGGGCGCCGAGGGAGTGAGTGCCCGCGTCCCCACTCGCTGCTGGCCTTCGGCGTGGCGGGTCCCCGTGGGTCCGCCGGTTGCCGGAGGACGGGATGTTCCTCACCACTTTTGAGAAGGGGATTGGCTTGCGGGCCGCGGGGTGTCGGCCCCCGCGCTCCCACGGACACGCCGCCACCGCGTGTGCTCGGCAGACAAAAGGGGCTTGTTCCAGCGCTTTGTGCATTCAGGGGAGGGTCCCCCGGGGTCGCCGCTGCGGCCGGCCGAGGTGTGTGCGGAGAGGGGGCGGCCCTCGCCTGTGGCGCGGGGGGCGCGGGCCGGAAAGAGGAAGGGCGTCCCCGCACTCGGTGACGGAGTTTAGTCTCTGAACCCACTCCGGGCAGGATCCCTTTCTGTGGCAGTCCCACGGCAGTGCTCACACGCGATCATAAGCCGTCCATGGGGCTGTAAACGCCCTCCGGCACAGGCTTCCCTGGGCACGTCAGGGGCAAGGATGGAGGATGGTGTGGCGCAGGGTGAGCACAGCTCTGGCACTGTTCTGGTTGTGATTCTTAAGACAAGTTTCTCCTGAGACAGGCAGACATTCCCGTGAGCCATCTGGTGCCCACCATTAAGGCCCAGAGTGAACTTCAGGCGTGGTGTTTGGGAAGTGTCCTGGGCTGGCTCAGCCAGACAGTGTGTGTTTGGCTGCCAGTGCTGAGTTCACTGGTGGCAAAGGCAGAACAAGGGGCTATTTGTGCCCAATTTAGCTCCTGGTGAGTGATGCCAGGGCAGAGCCTGTCCATCCTAGTGCATGTGATGGCCCAGACATGGGTGCAGACCTGGTTGTGTCCTGCAGCAAGTGGGGACACCTTTCACCTCTGGCTCATCTCCATGGCGATGGCAGGCAGGACTGGTGGGCACGTGTCTGGAGAGAG